TTTGACTTAAATTCGAATTTGAATTTGAAATAAAATTGGACTAGAGGATAAATGATGATTTTCTCTTCCTTCCTTATCTAGTTTTGGCACCACACATACAGGGAGAGGAATCCCTAGGGATGGCCGGCCACAAGGGATAAGGGATAGAGGAGAATTTTGGTTCGAAATTCAATCCTTCTAGAAGTTTGACTTCTACTCTATAAATAAGAGAATAGTAGAAAATTGTGGACACAATTTTTTTGACAATTTTTGAGGCAATTTTCGGAATTAATTTTTGCCCTAATTTTAGAGGTGGCCGAAATTTCTCTATAGAAAGAAGGAAACAATTTTTCAGCCCTAATTGGTTAAGGCTAGCCGAAATTCTCAACACATAGAGAAAGGAGAAATTTTTTTCTCTAAAAATTCCACATCGTGCATGCGTTGGAGTTTGTGGAAATTTGAGTGTTTATTGTAACCCGTTTTATCTCATGTGTGCCCACACAGTGGAAGACATTGGTTTTCTAAACACAAAGATTGGAACAAGGACTGTTCGTGGTCAAAGAACTTAAGTTATCATCCGAGTCGACTTCCAGGTATTTTTCCTGATTGAGTTCTTAATAAATGAATTAATGAGATTAATTTATTCGTACATAAATTAATATAATCTATAGAGTATCTCAAAGGTTTTATAAAAATTTTTGTTATACACGATCCGCCTCCCTCCCCGTACCACCGCGCTTCCGCAACCGAATTCGATTCGGAGACCAACAAAACATCATCCTAATTAGCATAAATATTAAAAGCAACGTAGTTACTCACATGGTCTTCATCTTTCTGACTGTCTTCAGAGTCTTCATCACTCCACGTTGCATTCAGAGACTTCTTCTTCTTCTTTAGAGTGTTGGCGCACTCAGATTGAATGTGCTCATATCCATCACACTCCCCGACATTGAATACCTCTGTTTTTTATCTTGAAATCAGTACCACTTGTTGTAGCTTTATTCTTTTTAAAATTATTGTTGTCATAGCTTGTATTTATGTTCTTCTTATTAAACTTCTTTATCATCTTGTTGAAATTCTTCGATAATCATGCTATTGACTCGGTTAAGTCTTTTTCATCATCAGGCTCAACTTCTTCAACTTCGCTTGAAACACAATGTTTTTCTCATTCTCCTTCTTGTTTTCATTCAGGTTCATCTCGAAAGTACGCAAAGAGCCCATTAAATCATCAAGCTTCATTGACCGCACGTCTTTGGCCTCTTCGATTAGTGTCATTTTGTAAGCAAACCTTCGAGAGAGTGATCTCATTAGGTGTCCTCAGAAAATTTCTCACCAAGAGCAAATGATTTATTAGCAATGTCATACAATTTGAAATTGAAATCTGAAACTGTTTCATTCTCAAGCATACGAAGATTCTCAAACCTTTGTAGTGAGGATTTGCAACTTTGATAGTCTAACTGTTGTTGTACCCTCATGAGCTGTCTGTAATATCTCCCAAGCGTCCTTGGCTGATTTGTACATAGAAATAAGTTTGAATTGATTGGCATCAACTCCAATGAAAATGGCATTTAATGCTCTTGAGTTTTTATTAGCCAACTTATCTTCTTCAGTAGACCACTTTTCTTCAGGTTTCAATACTTCTTTTCCAGCATCATCTTTGGTGATGGGGTGTGTCCAACTAGTTAGAACAGCACGACACGCCTTTTCATCAATAGCTTTGATAAAAGCCTTCATACGTGCTTTCCAATAGTCATAATTGGAACCATCAAGGAGAGGAAGACGCGAAACTGAGCCACCGTCTTTCAAAAAGTCCATCCATAACACTACAGACCAAATCCCAAAACATCACCAAACAAATAGTTAG